GTTTTCAATCATAAACAGATTTATCTCCTCATCTTCAAAGGGCACTAAAAAGATCTCATGCTACTTAATGACAGCCTACAATTCATCCTTGGAGTAAAGAAAATGCAGATGGGCTCGCTAAAGGTAACCTTGGTTCAACATCTTGTGGGGGAACTTTTCGCAGTTATAAAGGTGATTTTCTAGAATGTTTTGCAACTACCACTACAAAAAAAAAAGGTCTTCCTGCACAATTATTAACTGTCAAGAAGGACGTTCCTTGACAGTTTTTGAAATGTCATTGTATCCCTGTTAAGAAAGGACGTTGACAGTTCACAACTATTAAGAACTTTTGACAGATTTTTGACCGTTCGAAAACTGTCAAAGATTTAACTGAATTTTACCAAATCCTTGATAATTTTTGAATTGTCAAGGATTTGTTTTTTTTTAGTGTTTTAACCAAATTGTTGACAGTCCTTAAACTGTCAAGAATTTTTTTTTTTTTTTTTTTTTGTAATTAGTTTATTTTTCTAATTATTACCAATTAAATTATAGAATAGTGCAACAAAATTATTCATAATATTTATTCTTCCAATAATTATCACAATTCAACAATAAATTTAGATACTGTTGCTCTAAGTAAACAAAATTGAAATCAAACTATATGGTTAAGAGATTTCAGTCATCAAACTAAAGTGAGAAGAAGAATAAGATAAACATCAAATTATAAGTTTCTAAGTTTCATACAAAAAGCATACACGAGAAATCACTAAGGCCAACTATATAATCAATGGCCCAAGTATCTGCAGAAGAGAATGCACAAATGCACTTGTGAGGAGAGTGAGAGATTACAATGTTGTGTCCAACAAGTTCCAGTTGTGTAGGTGGCGTGACGTATTCACCTACTGGCTGATGCACAGTGGGTACAGTGTACTGCAGCAGATATTGTTCTCCAAAATTCCCATCTGCTCACAGAAGAAAAAGTACACTTAAGTTTCATATTTAAAACAACGGCTATATTTTGTCATGCAGAAAAAAGATGGTGTGTTACCAAGAAACTGGATCATATAGAAACTATTTAGCAAGAAACATCTTAAGTTCTGTTATAAAATTAAACAACATGATGCATAAAATATAGTTTTACATCATTGATAGTGTATGGCCGAGAAGAGACATAATTATCAACAAAGGTGGGAAAAGAAACCAAGAGGTAAAGCAATTGATTTTCAGATAATTAGTACTTTGTATATTAGTATGTCAAGCTGCAACAAATCAGTTCCATTTAAAAGCTATAACACAAGAGGTTCTTCTTCCAAAGTTTAATCGAATCACATATGCAAATTATCATCTGCAATCCAAATCAAATGCATAGAGAATAAATGGTCTTGGACGCCTTTAATACACTTACCCTGGCTGGCAAGGTCATGCTTCAAAAATTGTTTTAGATTAAAACCACATAAAAGGCATAACATTTTAAATTATTGACGTATTATAAACACTAAAAATTAACATTATTATGAGCAATCTTGTGACACAAGCAAAAAAAGTTGAAAGCAATCCTTACAAGCAATTTTGTACTAAGCCGTCAATTCTCCAGGTCTTTCAGTATGCACTGGTTCAAAACCCTAGAACAAAGTTAATCCAAGAGTCTCAGCATGAAATTGGTCAAATTTATCAAAATGAAAGCAGCATATGTAATTCATGGCTAAGTAAATCCAAGTATTGAACACCACAAGTTACGCCATGTTGGAGTTTGGTGCGAAGAAATTAACGTTATATGATAGCACAAAGACAATAGAAAATTAAAGGGCTGCAATCAATACTATATCTTATAATTATAAATAATTCGACTGAGATTCAAAAATAGTTTAAAATATAAACACTAAAATGGCCTCAAAAAAGTAAAAGAAAGAAATCTATAGCATCAAAAGTGAATGTCTTGCACTTTAGGCCGGGGAGGTTCCATTTCGTCACACCAATTCCAACAATACATGCTATAGACTGGAAGTGGTTGCACTTTATAATAAATTTAAAGCGTTGGCACAAAATCATAAAGGAAAATCAGCACAAAACACATCTATTTTATGTATTATTTATGAAGATTCCACTAATGCAATATGTAATCTGAAGTAGTAATAAGCCGAAAAGTAGAAGCCGAAAGTGCTTAAGCATGAGAAGTAACAAAACTACATATGCATCACAAGTCACAACTGAGAAGGAGCCAAGAGTTCAACTTCACATTTCTAGAAGATGAAGAGGTTCATGAGCGGAAGGAAAAATAAGATAGCAGCCATGGTCATGATTTTGCAAAATTATAAACCTTTTCCGGTAGAAATTTAATAACAAAATATACCACTCACTCACATGCTTCCTAGTGGAAACAAGTCAAAGCATCATGCCCAGCAGCTACTTGTTAAACACAAACAATGAAAATAGATAAGAACCAAAATAGAACATCTTGAGAATCTTGAGATTCTCGGTTTACCTACAACACACACCATTGATTATGCTAATTCTAACATAATGGTATGAACAGATGGTACGAAAAGAACTGGGGCCATGCCAAACAAGTGTTTAATAAAATAATTCTGACGTTATTGATAATAAAATTATGAATATCTTCTCCAAAGTCCTGGAAAATAACTAGAAAACAGAGGATAAGATGCAATGAAGATTCTGGATACTCAAAGACCACTCTTGCAACCAACTTATAAATGAAACTAGAACCCAAATTGTTGTTGAATAATCATAAAAAAAGAAAAAATGCAACAGAATTTGCACAAAGCCATACATTTCAATTATCTATTTTGACTTGCACGGTCACTATGTATTCTGTGTCTGACCAGATTGTTCATTGCGTAAGAGTAAGAAGCAGATTATTAAGACCAGACAACACTAACTATGTATTCTTTCATAGGCTACTTGGTGAATAGAAACCAAAACAATTCATCCTAATAACTTATACAATAAAGAGGAAAATCAAGGCTGCAAAAGTTACCATGAAGACTCTGACTTACTGATATTCAGTGAAAAGAAAGGATGTCGCACCTGTTACATCAACACATCCATAAGTATGATATGATGAACAAAAAAATAACACACTTTAGAACAGTCACTGCAATTTCAGACACAATCATTAAAACAATACTGACCAAGATAAAAAAGAGAATAAATGCATAGATCATGTAATTAACCCAACAAAAATCAGATTAAGTTAGAGTAACTCAAATGGTAAACAATCAGTTAAGAGGCAGACAAACTGAATTGACTACTACAGAGGAAATAAAATAATAGTTAATAAAAACTGGGTCAATTCCTGTATAGAAATATCTGGTAATGAAGTGGTGTCCACATGCATTAAGAGCCAAATTTAACTTAAGATAAACACATTAGATCATCACAATTTCTAAATTAAAAATCTAGAGATCTTTTTAAAATCCCATATATATTATAAAAGAGCAATGAGATCTCGCGATGTAGACCGTACGAAAACATTATACAAGGCAAATGGGAGCACCAAAGAAACTGATTCTCAGCCCCCACAAGCATGGTCATTATTCATCAAAATGATGATAGCTTAAACGGCAGATGTCATATAAAAATGTTTTTAACATGTTACCAGTTACATGTTATGAGCCTATGTACATGTTTAAAATGTTACAAATCTGACAAAAAAGAGTCAATCTAAAATACTTCCTAATCTGTAGAAAAATCCTATATATTTTTGAATTACACAGTACAAGGCACAGGACACTTAAAACAGTAATCCAGATTCTCAACAATAACATTAATAATATAAAAAGACATTAGAGATGATGCAGATGCCATCAAATTGCAGAAAAAATAATCATCCAATACATGGTTAGAGATTAAAGCTGCAAGCAAGTTCGTCCTAGATCCAAATTGATTAAATTCAATCAGTTTGTTTTAGATTAAGCAACTAAGCCCTTAAAGTAACAACATAACAGATATCTAACATTGAAAGTGCTCCAGACATAATGACATGGCAACTAGAAATGGAAAATCTAGACTAAAAAAAAAATCACTCAAGTTACTTCAAAACACAGAAGCGAAGAGAAGAAAAGAAATTGAGAGTACACTAACCAAAACAGAATCAAGTGCATGTAGGAATTCAACTTGATGAGTCACAAGTAAAACTGCCTTCTCTGAAAGTGCTCCCATAACATATTCCTGGCAGAGTTTAAGTTAGCTTTCCCGAAAACCAAGTTATTATATAGAGATCATGTTCAAAAAAGAAAAGCAGTTACATTAAATAATCTTGTGGCCGTATGAGCATCCACAGCACTGAATGGATCATCCAACAAATATATATCAGCATCCTGATAGAGAGCACGAGCCAGTTGAATTCTCTGCTTCTGACCACCACTCAAATTAACTCCTCTTTCTCCTATTTCAGTGTGATCACCATAAGGAAGCAACTCAAGATCTTTGACCAAGGAACACCTTTCTAGTGTTTCTTGGTATCGATGGCTATCCATAGAAGACCCAAATAAAATGTTCTCTCTTATGCTACCAGTTTGGATCCAACCATGAATTTGGTTTACTGAAATGGAAAAAGTCAGAATTGCTTGGCTTTCCAGATGTACCTGAGCAACCAGATCCCCCACAGAACATTAACCATAGATCCTCCATCAATTTTTTATCTTTTATCCTTGCTCTCCAAGCCCTGATTTGCATACCAACATGCAAACATAAATAATAAGAAATTTTTTATCACTAAATGTTCAGATAATCCAATTAAAAGAATTATCATCAATTTCTGGCCTTTTGATTGAAAGAAACAATAACGTAGAAAAAAGTGCAAATCCCCCACAAGAGTAAAAAAGAAAAAGATCATGAATCCCAGAGGGAGAGAGGATTCAAATTATGAACAAACCAAACTAATGCAGTAAGCTCCCATGGAGCTTAGTAGTTTGCATTGTTACTGAAACAAAATTGAAGTTAGTCCATGTACAAAAAGATAAGGAGAAGTCCATGGTACCTCAAAAATAGCCTCAAATTAGGTCCCTTTTCTCCTTCTCCTTCTCTTTCTCTAACTCAAAGTACTCTACAAGAAGCTGAGGGTCAAATGTTCCTGTAAAATTTTACACAAATTCAAATCGTGAAAAACCAGCCTCAATCAATAAAATTCCGAAACGGCGACAGAGGCAAAAGAGAAAGAGACGTGTTTGCTTGTATCAAAAACGTTTCACTCTCATTCTCACATTTCAATCCCAGGAAGAGAATTCTAATATGCGATTCTTTAGTGCATTAAAATATTACTATAAGATCCAGACAGACACTCCCTTATTTAAAAAAAAAAAACAATTAAATTAATCAAAGCAATTTATTAATTAAGCAACTGCAGCAAGATAACATTTTTATTAAAAGGAACGTTAAAAGAAAGAAAGAAACCAAGCAGTACCCCAGTCTCAATCCAGTTTTTTCAACCAAACAAGGAAATTAAAATGCGGCATTCGTTGTAATACGTCAAAATACCGATGTAAATTATAATGATGTATTCCGTATAATGGTGGTTCATGTCATAGATTTGGCCTTCACCGTAAATCTCTCTTCGGACCGGCTTTAGTTCGCCGGATATAGAGCGCAACCGCTGTTGTCCGTCGTGGATTGTCGGATAGGCGGTGTTTGCTGCGACGGTGAGTATGAGTGAAGTGAGGAAAAGTAGCAGAACGAAGTCGTTTGGGCCATGATTCGAAGTTTACTGTTGTTCAAGCGTTGAAAAAAAGGAGACAGAGAAAGGATATAATAAAAATGATTCTTGTTGTGATTAGATTTTAATTATTTTTTTAACATTTGATTAAGAGGATAATAGAGAATAACTTACTGGCGTATTTGCTCTTGAAGCAGATAGATTGATTAATCCATTCAACCTTTTGCCCTAATCGCAACGAGAAGAAGATTAAGAAAAACAGGGCAATTAGACGAATCCCAACGAGAAGAAGATTTATAAGAAAAGAGCAATTAGAAGATTGATTGAGAAGAAGATTGATTGTCGCAATGAGAAACTTCTGCAGTTCAGTGGAAGAGCGACAACGAGAGATTTTGGGGGGCAGAATGGGTTTTTGGGTGCTGGAATTTTTGGCGGCAAAAATGGGTTATTCTAATAAAAAATGCTACGGAGACAGAACGTTGGTACCGAAGTTTTACACCGATCTATATGTTATTTGACTTGAACATGGTCACGTAAGATAGTAAGATACAATATAGAGATTCAATGGATGAATAGCCGTCTAATCATTATGGACTTCTATTTATATTTTATGGATAACCATTCATCATAAATGGACGAGAGTCTAAAAAATATCAATGGAGTCTCTTTATTATGGATGACCATCCACATTATATGGACGGCTATTCATATAATTTTTTCTCAAATAATTTTTTTTTAAATTTAGAATTTTCTTTTCATTTATAAAATCCTATAACTTGTCTAAGACGCTTCTACAAATAAGCGTCAAAATTGTTAGACGAAATATTCATTTTTAAAGCACGAAATTTTTAGATGAAATAAAGGAAAAAAAAAACTTTGATTTTTAAAGTACAAAGTATGGACGCTAGTCCATCTCATGACGATGGTCGTTCATGATATTCATTTTTAAAGCACAAAATTTTTAGATGAAATAAAGGAAAAAAAAAAACTTTGATTTTTAAAGTACAAAGTATGGACGCCAGTCCATCTAATGGGGATGGTTGTCCATATACAATGGATGGCCATCCAATGAGATGGACGGGCGTCCGTACTCAAATAAATTTTTTTTTTTTCTAAATTTGCAATTTGTTTTTCATTTATAAAAAAATGTGAAGCAAGAGAGAAATGAAGAACTAGATAAAAAGTACTCACAATGTAGTGCCGGAGTCTAGGACAGTGACGATGAAGATGAAGAACAACAGCAGATGGAGATGAAGAAGACAAAGAACAGCGTTAGATGGAGACGAAGAAGATGAAGAATGGTGCCAAAAGGCTTTCGTTTTTTAAAACCTGTTTTGGGAGCCCTAAATTTTAAACATTCTAATTGAAAATTTTAAAGAGATTTTTTTATTAAACTAGAATTTTAGTATGGACGACTGTCCATCTTACACAGACGGCTGTCAATTATTTGTTTTTAAATTTTTCTGGACGTTCATCCATAGTAAATGGACACCTATCCATATTATATGGACAAGAGTCTATTGACATTGTCATGAATGATCGTCCATTTGTGATGAATGGTCGTCCATAGCGTATGGACGACCATCTATTAACGAAATTAATATTTTCTGTCCAACGTGACTGCGTCTTAATGGATGCCACATTGTTCAGTAAAAAATTTTGGTGCACAAATTTAGTGTCCGTAGCATTACTATATTCTAATTGTTTATAACCCCAGATTGACTTAATGAAAAATGGGTCGGAGAATTTGCCTAAGTGAAATTTTTGAGGTGGGAAACTTTGCATTAGTGCAATTTTAGCTTTTGTTTTTTTAAACTTAATCCTTGGCAGTTAAAAACTGTCAGCGATTGAGACTATAATAGTCAAGAAAAAGAATTGTATAATTTGATTTTGACAAAATCCGTAACAATTAATAACTGTTAAGGATTTTGTAAAACAGTCAAAGATTATTTCAAATTCTTGACGGTTCATATATTGTCAAGAATTACATTTCTTGACCATTTTTTAGAACAATCAAGAAATTCTCTCAAAGAAATTCTTTTTTCTTATAGTGTACCCAAAAATGATATATACAAATATTCTCTTTCGTCACCCACATATTTTATACACAATTTACGGTTCAAATATTATATTACCTCAACCGTCATAAAGTTGTCATTATATCTTTAGGGTTAGCTTGGGAGTTTTATGGTAGTGGTTAAGAGGGTAAACTATTGTAGCGGTTTTGAGGGTAAATAATTGTAGTGGTTTTGAGAGGTTTTTAGTATGGGTTTTTAAAACACCTAACCTATGCTTGAAAGTTTATTTTCCAGTGGTTCTGACAGTTTTTTTGAAATGATAAATTTACATATACGCCCATAAAAATATCCCAACTTCAACTAGTACTTGGGAGTTTTGTTTTTTCAATTACAAGATAATGATTCTTTATTTATTTTCTACTTATTAATATTTTATAACTTCAAATGTGTTAGAGTCTCCTTATCCTTTTTCGCCATTTTTTGCAGCATCTGGAATGATTAAGAAATTGTAGCTCCACTTCTCCAAGAAAACATCTGGAAATGAGATTTTAATAATTTTTTTTTTGATTGCTTAAATTTTTTTTTTTAAATTACTTTATATTTAATATGGTTAGAGACGCGTATAATATGGTTAATTTTTTTGTTTTCATATAATTGAGATAGTTTTGTAGTAGATAGAGTATTTGTGGAATAAAATTTTAAAATCAATCAAAACGCTCTAATTTGAGGTGTTTTATAAACCCCTAAAAAATATACTACAGTAGTTTTGGGAGGTTTTTTAGCCGGCTAAAACCAGTGTATAAAATATCTAGCAAGTAATGGTTTTAAAACATTAAAAATCTCTCAAAACCAATGGAAACAAAAACTCCCAAGCGGATCCTTAAACTTAAGCTAGTAGTTAGGGATTAGACCTATTCACATGAAACTTGGATTATATTTGTTGTCCAATTAAAAAGGTGAGGATTTGAACTTTTGGCCTTTGGCTCAACATTATTATTTGGATTGATAAGCTGCTTGATGGGGTGATATTTGCTTTGATGCAATAGCAAATTTACGGTCTACAGTTTTGACAAGCTTAGATTTCAAAAGGAGAATTGGAAAGTAGAGCATATATATATATAAGCTGAGACTCTTGATTATTCCGTAGATACAAAACTCCCATACATTTTTATTTATTTCGCAGTCATAGAGACCGCTACTAGTACAGTAGTACTACTACTTATATATGACGCATGAGAACTAAATTATTTTATTCATTATATATCTACAAACTTAGTTCTGCAAACGTCCTTTCTTCGATCATCCTCATGCTTATTACTCTTTGGCAGTAATGTCGATTTCCCTGATGACGAGTCTGGTCTTCTCCTGAGCATCCGGTGAAGACAAAGAGATCTTCATATCACCAGACATACCAGAACTGGGAGTGTGGAATTCTCCAATTGTGAGTTGTATCCAAACATTGGTTTCTTGATCACTTAGATTTTCTGTGGTTTGTTCAGTTTCTCCATTTGGGAGTTGAAATTTCAGGGTGACGGGTTTATCCCATCCCTTGGCTCTGTCCTTCATCATTATAAGGAAAGAAACTTCATAGGTTTTGTCTGGAGATAGTTTACGTGTCTTGAAATTTGTTTTTACCTCGATGCTCTTTCCACTTATTAGTTCATTCACTTCCACGCCCTTTATTTTGCACCTTTTCCAATCTCCTCCATGGTATGTGAGACCTTTTGAAAAAAGCCTAAAGTCGATGGCATCGGAGTCCTCGTTATGCTTACACAGCTGCAATATACGTAAAATATTAGAAAAATAAGAAAAAATTACATGGGACAGTCTTACCAAGTCATCTGCTTGATGTGACGAGATCGTCCACTGATATAATGGTAGATATTGCTATGTATATACTAATTTTTTTCATTCATCAATTACTACCCTCTACCATAACAACCACTATGATGGTCGACTATTGGACTGTCTTACCACCTTACCCGGAAGACATGGACTTGGAAATATTTCTCAAAATATTGAGTACTTACCTTGAAGTTAAAACTTAATTATATATTACTAAACAGTGAGAAGAGTAACCACGAAAATAATATGATACAAATACAGTTTGTAAGATGGGGCCTTTACCTGTGTGTTCTGATTCAAGAGAACTCCATTCTGGAGCTGTTTAAACACCTTCTGTGGAGAGGAGGTGTCAATCTCTGAGTCTGCATCTTTAACAATGTCATGTACGTTGTGTGGAAGTTGAGCCATCTCGTGACCTGTTGTACTATATACTCTTAATTTCCTTAACTCTTGATGATCCTTCTCAAGCAGTCCTCTATTTATAGCATCATCAGAGAATATTTAAACTTATTCCTTCAACGGAATGAAAAGATGTTCTTTATCATGATAATTAAGCATCTTGAATCACTTTACTCCCAAGGATAAATCAGATTCTCAACCCACCAGAGAGGCCGTATTCTATACGCAGTTAAAGTGACCGCTTTTACTGTAAAATGATACAACAATACAAGTGTGATATTTATCCTCTAGGTGTACGCGTGCATGCAGTACCAATATCTCATTCATCACATCTTGTCAAAGATTATATATTATATTGTGTAAAAGAAACTCCAACTATTATTTTCTGTCTGAATCATCAGCTTCAGACAGGTTCCATGGTTAAGATACGTTAATGCCGAAAGTTGCACCAAATTGAAAATCACGATCTTGTCCGTTTTATCTCTTCTCTGGTCTTAAAGTAGTCACCACTGGTTTCTAGAAAACTAGAATAATGATTTTACTGCCTCTAGAAAACAAAGCCCTGTATTAAATTAAGAATCTGATCTAACTAGGATTGATATTTCTCCTAGGATTCTTTATTTATATGATCCATGTATTTCTTCTTACGTTGCATACCAAATTCGGGCACTAAAAGATATTTATTTATGATTCTAATCCACTATTTATTGCCACCTTTCCAGATGTACTTCATGACGTAATTGGATGACATACATATTGAGACATAGAACAAATCCGTCTCCAATCTTTCCAGGTGTTTTGAAGAGTACTCTCCATTGACAATTTGGCTTTTAACTTTTAGTTTCAAGCGTCCATCTACCCCAGTTTCTTTTCATTTTTCTTATTCGAACTTTTTTTGTTTTGTTTTTTTTTTCGTTTTTGAGACGGAGTTAAGCATTCGTAGCTGGATTTATCGGATGTGAGTGTGACTCATTTGGACTATGCATATATGTTATATGATGTTTCATGTAGCTTGTAACTTTATCTAAAGTTGATTAATTAAATCGTAGAACAGTAAGCGATGACTCAGTATTATATTTGAATCCTGAATTTTTTTTCCTTTTTCATTATTCTGAATGGTGGGGATTCTAGTTTTAGACATTTAATCCTCTTACTATGTTAAATTATTATTCCACTTAAAAGCTTGAGGTAATAGATGAGGGGCTCACTATTATATTAGTCCAATAATAGTGAATAGAGTGAGTTGTTGATTTTCCTCATCCTAGTTTTTCGACTGGATAACATTCTTTTGATGGCAAGTCCCTATATGGAGCTTCCGTATGACACTATAGAATATTCTATAGTCCTTAAACATTTATGGTATTATAGGGGTATCACATCATGCATACGTACCATCAACCAATACATTCTTGTCATATAAGTAGAGGTGGAAAATTTGGGCCGGGTTAGGCGGGTCAACCTAACCCGGCCTGGGAAAATGCGGGTTAAGTCCGGACCGCCAAGATGGCGGTCCAGGTTGACCCTAACCTGGCAACAACCCCTGGGTGGGCCGGGTTGCACAATGGCAACCCGTAACCCGGTGGGTTACTGTTTTGTCTCTTTTGCAAGAGACCCGGCAACCCGTCGGGTTGGTTGTGTGCAACCCGGCGGGTTGCACATTACAACCCGCCAACCAGGCGGGTTGTAATGGCCAACCCGCCAACCCTCCGGGTTGCAACAGCCAACCCAGCGGGTTGGCCGAGAAAAATAAAAATTTTTATTTTATTTTTCAAATTACCCCTTTACCCTTGAAATATAGCCATTTTATAGCCGTTGGAGGGGTCTTTTTCGTCATTTTTCTTTCCCATTTTTTCCTATAAATTGGCCCTAAACTCTCACATTTTTCTCACAACTCAAATTCTCTCATTCTCTTATATTCTCTAATCTCTCAATTATTCATTTATTAGTTTTTGCAATTTGCTCATATTTTAATTTTTATTAGTTTTTGCAATTTTTAATTCATATTTCCAATTTTCCAAATTCCAATTTCCATACTCCAATTCTCTTTCTTTAATTTTTATTTCTTCTACATCATTTTTTTTTTTCAACTACATGGATAAATGAATAAGTCTAATTTTTCTTATATTACAATTTTATTGTATCAAAATTGAATTAATATTTGAAATGTTAACAAAAAAAAAAAAAAAAAAATTGAAGAATTGATATTTGAAAAGTTAATTAAAAACAATTATATTTATAATTATTTATTTGAAAAGTTAAATAAAAAACAAAAAAAAAAAAATAAAAAAACAAAAAAAAAGGAAAATCGGGCTAACCCGGCCTGGATCACCACCTAACCCAGCAGGTTAGGGTTGGCCGGCCGGGCTGGGCCAGCCATTTTGGAGAAAATGGCGGGCCTAACTCGGCCTGCCTTTGTTGGCGGGTGGGTTAGGCCCGGCCCACTGAACAAAGTAACCCGTCGTGGGCCAGGCCGGGTCGGGCCGGGCGGGTTACTTTTCCACCTTTATGTATAAGTTTTTAAAAGAAATCCTATAATATAATGGTGATACCACAAGCCACTTAAAAGTTGACATGTGTAAATCTCATTAAAGATTAATTGACTAATTTCTCTGATTTCCACGAAAGCTGGCTAACTCAAATATACTAAAACCCTGAAAATCTAAAGAATTTAAAGCAAAATTGAAACAAAGTTATTATTGTTATATACCTAACAAATCTAAGAAATTGAACAATTGAAACAGAGGACTTGCTGTTTGTGTTCTTTTGTTGTGCAAATATTTTTTGGTCCAGTGGTGGTGGTTGTAGAAATTATGGTAGAACATTTACCATGGATTTGAGTAGGAAGGACATGTGATACATAAAGTCCACCAAAAGCTCTTACCTAATACAATGGTTTATAAATTTTTCATTACTTTATAAACACACACACACACCCAAAAAATAAAAAAATAAAAAAATAAAAAAAAATAAAAGCTGTTGAGTAGAACATTTCTTTACACTCACGATATGAGAATTAATATCATATAATTTCAAAATTTTAACTAAAGGGCAATTTTGGTTGAATTGAAGAATTGTATGTTTTCAATTCATTAATATTTTAGTAAGAGTTACATTCTTTATATAGGGAACATACAATCTACGAAATCTCTTAATTATTTTAATTACAATAAATAGACATAATAAGAAGATTATTGGATATTAAGAACATTATGAGTATCCTAAAATTGATAAAATAAGAAGATTCTAAAATATTCAAGAAATATTGTTGAAATCTCAACACTCCCCCTCAAGTTGGTGCGTAGATGTCACACATGCCCAACCTATCTAAAACTTGTGAGAAAATATGTATGGAGACAGCCTTGGTAAGAATATCGACTAATTGATCCTCTGATTGAATCTTGGGCAATTCAATAATCTTTTCATCCAATTTTTCTTTGATGAAAAATCTATCTACTTCAACATGCTTCATACGATCATGTTGAATGAGCAATGTCACATGCTACTTTATTGTCATAATATAATTGGATTGGTTGATTAGATTGATAGCCCAAATCTTGCAGGAGAAATCTTAGCCACAAAGCTTCAAAAATCCCAAGTGTCATTCCCCTAAATTTTGGTTCAGTGCTTGCGCATGCCACAACATTATGTTTTTTGCTTCTCCAAGTGACTAGATTACCACCTACAAAAGTGAAATAACTAGAAGTAGATTGTCAGTCATCCACTGCTCTAGCCTAATCAACATCAACATATGCATTCACATTTTGGTAGTCCTCATTTTTAGTAAACAAGATTCCTTTTCAAGAGCATGTTTTAAAAATATCAAGATGCGCATAACTGTGTTCTTATGTTGTTCTCTAGGATTATGCATGAATTGACTGACTATACTCAATGCATTAGCAAGATCTGGCCTAGTATGTGATAAGTACATCAATCTTCTCGCAAATGTCTAGTATCTCCCTTTGTCAATTGGTATTTGACCGGTCTCAACTCCTAATTTCAAACCTTCTTTGATTGGTGTATCAGTTAGTTGACATGCTGACATACCAATTTCCTGCAACAGATCTAAGCCATACTTTCTTTGTGATAGAAATATACCTTTGTTAGTTTGAGACACTTCGATTCCAAGAAAATAATTCAAAGAACCTATGTCTTTCATCTTGAATTCTTTTGACAAGTACTTTTGTAAAGCCTTCATTTCTTCTAGATCATTTATTGTAACCACCATATCATCCACATATACAATAAATGCAGTGATCTTGTCTTGATTTTTTTTAAGGAACAGTGTGTGATCTGAATTCCTCTAATGGTAGCCAAAAGACGTCATAGCTTTTGTAAACCTCCCAAACCATGTCCATGGAGATTGTTTCAACCCATATAGAGATTTCTTTAACTTACATGCCTTTTGGTTGTGCTTTTTAGGTGTATTCCTAGTGAATGATCCATATAGGTCTCTTCTGTAAGTTATTTTGTCAACTTATGATTCTAGTGGTGTAACACTAGTCATGGTATGATCACTTCACTTTGAATATTGCACAATCATTTTGTTTAATTTCCAGTGTGACGAGCTTGTGTTAAAAGTGACCACCTTTTATTTTGTTGTTTATTTGCTATATCGGGTGAACACCTCTAAGTTTGAGTGATCACAACGTATTTGGCACATGTATTTGGGTAACACGTGTTATGCTTCTAGAATGCATGAGCTGTTATATTCTCTTTTGAGATATTTGTGTGGTTCATAACACTTGTAAAATTCATATTCAATGTGCCGAAAAGCTTTATTCTCTTTGATAGGTGGCATCTTAATATTGGAATAAACTTTTATAAAGGTGAATTCAATAAATTTATCCCTTGCCACATGTCCCCTTGCATTAGAGCTCAAGTTTTCTATATATCTGTCTTCTCTAATGCAATTCTTTTCAAGCTTAATTATTCCTCTGATATTACTTTGAAAATTCTCTAAGGTTTCTTTTGTTATGAATCAGGTTTCATATGCCTTAGGCTTACAAATACCTTGGTTAAACTTTGTTTATTTGTTCATGGCTAA